CCGATATTTTGTTTCGACCTCCATTTTTAGATCCTCCAAAAGTTTCATGCAAATATATTAACATCTTGCTATTAATGCTATTACTACAATTACTTATTACACAATTAAATATTTTTATTTATTTTTATTATATATACTGATACACGTGTTAATATTTATCAAATATTTAAATTGAACATATGTTTTAACGTGTCCAGATATTCTTTTTACTTTTTTTTATTTTTATTAATACGATTATATTAATTAAAGTTATTCAAATATGCAGTCATTGAAATCGGATAATATATTCATCTTTTTTTTTATTAATATAATTTCCCTGATAATATCATAAATAACGCTTGAACAAAGATTTAACGATCGCTATTAACATAATTTATCATTTTAAACAGTAGAATATACATAAATGAAACATGAATTTTCATTATATAATTTATATATTAGTTTTCTATTTAAATATATTACATCCCTGTTATTAATTTTTTTTTGATTGAACATTGTAATTTAAGTAACTCATTAACAGATAACCAATTGATTTTAATGACGATTAAATTATTTTCCTTAAATTATATTGTCCGGTCGACACGCGTTGGTAGACCGATAAATACCAATGCATTTATCATTTAGGTGCATATAAGTGCATGACCTCTTTACTCGTGTGCCACTTTTATGCGGTATGTCTTACACTTAGTTTCAAAGTGTAGGATGACTGGAAAGAAGATGGAGAAGATATTAGCAAATTTTCACAATTAATAAATCACAGCCGAGTTTTTAAGAAATAATACAATATCATGATACTTTTGACGCCATTTACAATCGATTATATATTCTCGTTTCATTGAACAATCAATCCTTACGACATTTCGAGTACGGGACGTTATCGTTCATTCAGCGAATTTATTGTGATTTGCTTACTTAGCCTTCTCTTCAATTACGATCACATCTGTGTCGATTAAAGCTCGCGAAGTTAAACCCTTTTAATGGAAACGAATAGAATTGAATAGATGATTAAATCTCCAGGATTTATTTCTTTTTTTCTTTTTTTTTTTCAATACTTAAGGTCGATGCACGATTAAAAAGCAACATAGTATAGATAATATATCGTAAATTTATCAGTTATCGATCAATAATGACTTTATTAAGCTATATTTATTATGGATATTGACACTAGATTTATTTGTACATTCGTCGGATCATACTTGACAATGCTGTTCCAAGATTATATGAAAGATTATAATTGTGATTATAATTCAATATTGACACTGCTGTATGATAATATTATTGTAATTGTACGAGAGATAATTGTTTATGTTACACACAAAAAAAATACTGTTTTAATAATCTTAATAATAAATATTTTTTTTTATAAAACGAGGAATATTGAAAAATGCAAAGGTTGAATAATTTCCACATTATTATCATTAATATAGAAAATTTATTAGAGTAATAGATACACAAAAATTTAGATCCATTGCATATATTTGAAAAAAGAAAATTCTCTAACTCTCTCACGCTTAATAAGTTTAGTACGATAGAAAATATTATGTTAAACGAAACGGTTAAGAAAGTTTACAGCAGTGATGTTAAAAAGCAAATTCATAATATCCGCTTTTAAAACGGAAATATATGTATTATACACGTAAGGTTTAAAATAGTAATGAAAATAATAACGTACATTGGATACATAATAGTGTTGTGAAAATAATAATATACATTTTGAAAATTCTGGAACAATCGAGAAACGGATGATCCTTGATATAATACATTGTGTGTATATATATATATATACATACGTGTGTTTGTATAATAAAATTTAATGAGTTGGTGAAAAAAACCTGGTTTTTCAAGAAAATCAAATTTTAAGAATTTAAGAAAAAACAATATTGAATACCTTAACCTTCTTTCGCATGACGATTCTCGTGAATATGATGGATATCGATTGAATATATATATATATATATATATATACGAAACTAGAGAGTGTTTCTTGTGAAATTTAGAATTGCAATTTCAATTCGTGCATCTTCGATCGATCTTTCGAATCTTCGAAACAATTTTAATCGAGTTGAAGTGGCTGATAAATCATAAAAAAAATAAATAAAGCCTTACGCGACATCTACACGAATCGGTCATTGACAATAGGTTAAACAAGGACAGTGCTACGAAATTAGATACCGCATCGGATGAATACCTTATGCCGCGTCCACACGGACGTTGTTCACGAACAACTCGCGAAACATGATCGCCAACAGTGTGGACATTTCGACGAACTACACGAGCAGCAGGTTATAATGAACTTGTCTGCGAATAGCAAAGCATTATGGCGCTACGTTATTTCGATACATTTGACATCGTATCGATATATTTGATATCGATACTTTCGATACTTGGCGTATTAAAATTTTATAAGGAAAATACGTCGTTTGTTTGAATCAAATGAATTGATAAATATGCAATGATGCATAATTAATATGGAACAAAAAATATGGAATTATAATTAAATATCGAATATTAAAATATTGAACTTAATTGTAAAATGTATTATTGAAAGTATATCAGTTTTTCAATATACAATGGATCTAAAAATAACAATTGCTGCAAATGTTCTACGCTCAAAAGATTTCTTGTTTATTATTAAACATTTGTTACCACTTTTCTAATTCTCATCCCGTGATAAAATATTTATTAAGATTCTCAGATTACTTTTATTTATCACTTTTATTTTCAGGTAACAGATTGGAGAAAAAGAAATTGAAAATCGCAAATTTTATGGGAAGCTGGTGACTTCCTTCACTTATTGCATTACAACGAAATATATATTCGAAATATCGAAATATTGTATCGTCCACCATTAGTAATCGGTTGGAGGGCGGCACATCAAAGAAATTATTCGTCAGAGCGTACGTGTTGTAATGGCCTCAACGAATTTAATCTTTTTAGAATTGGCTAGAATTGTTCGTTGCAAGTTTTAATGCGAATAAGATATAGATGTAACATAATTATTACAACCTGCTTCGTTCAAGTAGAGTTTACTTACAATTACAGCTGTTTATGCTTGCAAACACAATATTAAAATTTTTAACTTTCTGATAATTTTTATTTGTTAATAAATAATGTTAAAAAATTCATACTAACGAATCAAAATTGGATTAAATTAAATTGAAAGCTAATATTGAACAGCTTGAATAAGAATAAGGATTCAGTTATTCGGTTGATGACTTCCTCAATTCGCTAATAAATTAAACCAAATTAAATTATTACGATATTACTTTCCAAAATTGTGTTAAAAAATTTATCAATTTATAAACACGGACAAGATTAACGATACAAGCTAAATAAATGGATCAATTAAAAAATTTTGTTCAATATCTTTAATTATTTTTATCAAAAATCACCTTCTTTTCGATCATATTATAATATAAACCAAAACTACTAAACCAATAATTTGTTTAATCAATTTGATAATTTTGATGATTCGTATATTATCACTTAATTCAAAAAAAAAAAAAAAAGAAAAAACAAGAACTTTTCGATCGAAGCAATCGATTTTCGCAAGATCGATAATAATCTCTTTCAGCCAGATACCTCGAAGAAAAATAGAACACGGTGATAAAGAAACAATACGATAATTTTATCGAGATCCATTCATATGATCCATACAAATCGATTTACATTTTTCTCTCTCGAATAATCTTAACGAGAGCAATGAACCGTTTATTCTTCGATAAGCGTCGTGGCAAGATTTTGACTCGCCTTGAAAAGTCATAGAATCACGTTTGATGAAATTTCCTAAATTCCTAACAAGATTCGACTCGACTTCTATTTTCTTTTTTGATCGATAATAAGCCCTCCCCCCCCCCCCTCTCTTTCTGCTTGATTTCATTACAGCCTGCGGAAGAACGATTCGATTTTTCATTGCTCCGATAGATATCCGGAGCAAAAGTGCAGAGTACCTGAAACGAGCGTGATAAAAATAGAAATTTACGTTAAATATATACTCGCATTGTTATACAAGTCGATTAATAACGCGAGGAAAATTGAGAAAACTCCTCCTCTCTTTTCACAATCGATCGACTCGATTCTGAATTAAAATCGAAGAAATCTCATCCGATTCTGCGAGAGATATCTCGTGTGTTTCCTTTGGAAGATATTTAATCCGAAAATTTGAGATGAAAAATTCAAGATAAAACAAGATATATATATATATATATATATTTTTGCAAATTATTTTTTTTATATTAATAAACAAATATTTCCCTCGTTTCTTAAAACATTATTCAAGAAAACGATACGTTGCAATGATAATAGATAATGAAGACAGCGCAATTAAATATGTTTGCAAAACATAATGTTTTATTATTGGATAAAAAATATGCAGCATCATACAATTATATTATTATCCCGATATTTCCTCCTTCTTGTTATTAAAAAACCGTGTTACATCTATATCACGAAACCGTAGCATCTCTCTCTTCGTAATCGCTGAAAAATTAATAGAAAGTTCACACGCGTCAGAAATAAACTCTGGAAACTGAAAATTGCGCTTAATCTCGCGAATTAAAATAGAATTAAAATAGAAAGAAATAATTCGCAATGGAATTAACGGGGATCGATGATGATTGGTAATTCTTTTTACTAAAAAAAAAAAAAAAATAGACCGGGATGTTATCTGGTCAACCCAATTAGCTACGAAATCGAAGATAACGTAATAATAAAGTTGTGGGGGAGAAACTGATAGGGACGCAAGTATAAAGTGCAAGTGCTCATGCTTGCCGCAACGCAGATCGCGATTCGAGGCGGGAGAGCCGCGCCTCCCGCTCCTGGCCAATAAAAATCGTCCTTTCACGCGTGGAATTCGAAGCTCCGCCAAGGCTGTTCACCTGTTTTCCTCCTCTTTCTTATCTGTCTTCGAAAGTTGGAACTAGAAAATTATATTTCAACTTCGCTCGTTACGTCTCTCTTCTTTATTGAACCGTTCGCGCTCGACTGTTTATCGACAATTCTCCTTTCCTTCTCTCCGCGCGCAAGGAAAAAAGAAAAAAAAGAAAATATGTTGACGTGCTACGTGACCGCGGTGCAATACGAGTGGACGAACAATCGGCGCGGATCGAATTTTGACTCGCGATACAAATCGATCAGCGACCGGTATATACACAAAGATACATACATACATACATATATATATATTTGTGAATTCCTTCCTCTTTCAGATAAAGATGTCTGATTTCGTTGCAGAAACAGTGTGAACGTCGAGGGAGCAACCCACAAGCAGGTGGTGGATTTGATAAAGTCGGGAGGCGATGTGTTGACGTTGACCGTCATCTCTGTCACTCCACAAGAAGCGGAAAAGCTCGAACCGTTCGAGGATTTGAGGTACGACGAATAAGTTAAAGCAAGGTTTTTCCGATCAAATTATTCTCTTCGTTTCTTTTTTGCCGTTTTATTAAAACTTTCTCCTCCTAGTTATGCATCGGTGGACTACAGCGAAAAGCGATCCCTACCAATCAGCGTGCCGGATTATCACGTACGCGAGAGGAAGCACGAGCGTTACGTGGTTTTCAACGTCCACATGGCAGGCAGACATTTATGCTCCCGACGTTACCGAGAATTCGCCGCCTTGCATATGGCGCTCAAGAAAGAATTCATCGGGTTCAACTTTCCCAAATTGCCGGGAAAATGGCCATTCCAGTACGATCACAATTCTCATCTCGATTTGTGTGTGTATACATATACATATATATATATATATTCACAATGTGTAATATTTGCGGTAGATTGAGCGAGCTGCAACTCGACGCGAGGAGGCGCGGCTTGGAGCAATATTTGGAAAAGGTTTGTGCCGTAAGAGTGATCGCCGAAAGCGATATCATGCAAGAATTCTTGGCCGATAGACTCGAGGAGGACGGTGATCAGGGGCCCGCGGTCGATTTGAAAGTACTGTTGCCGGATCGCGAGGTTGTTACTGTTACAGTTGCTAAAGCCGCCTCTGTCAGTGATGTGTACGATGCAGTTTGCAGCAGAGTGGGGCTGGACGCAGAAACGGCCAAATACTTTTACCTTTTCGAGATAGTCGAGTACAATTTCGGTGAATATCCATTTTGTATACCCACACTGTATATACATATGTACATGTATGTATATTTTGTAGAAAGGAAACTGCAACCCCACGAGCATCCTCACACTTTGTACGTTCAAAATTACTCGACCGCCAGCGTGACGTGTTTAGCGATAAGAAGGTGGCTTTTTAATTTGAACAGACCACTGAGCGAGCAAGCGTTAACTTGGATATTCTGGCAGACCGTGGACGAGGTGAATAGGGGGCACATCACGGCGGGAGAAAGATTGTACCAGTTGAAAGCGTTACAAGACGCCTCGAGAAAGCACGAGGTACGAGAAAATTAGTGAAATTTATTTATTAAGTAAGCTGTACAAGTATTAAATTCTTATTTTGTTCCAGTATCTGAAATTGGCGAGAGAATTGAGCGGTTACGGCGATATCGTGTTCCCACATTGTGCATGCGACTCGCGAAAAGAAGGGCACGTGGTCCCCGCAGTGGGCGCGCCAGCGTTTAAGCTGCACGCGGCGAAGGAGGACGGCACTTTGGAATCTCAAGTTGTCGAATTTCAATGGAACGCTATTACACGATGGGAGGTGGATGAAGAGGGAATGGCGTTCTGCTTTCAATATACGCGTCAAGATAACCGTCCACCACGTTGGCTCAAGCTTTTCACACCTTATGTAAATTTATCTATTTCTTATTTGCTGAAAAAATGAATTTCAGAAGATGTGTCATCGTAAATTAACTATAATCGTGTTTCTTCTTGTATCATTGTGGCTAATTTGCTATGACTCGTTCCGTTTACTATCGGTTTTTCTCGGATGATGTATCTCTCTTTTTCTGTCTCTATTAAAATATCCTCCATCATTCGTAATCGAATACTCGACATTTTGTTCGCAGTACACGTTCCTGTCGGATTGTTTCGATCGAATAGCCGAGGAAGCAAAATGGGACGATCCGGGGGAATGAAGAAACGTTCGACGTTGAAAAAAGAAAAAGAACATATTTGGTGCATAATAGGGAAGGTATCGTTTCTCACCGAGGTATCGTTTCACTTATATTATAGCAAGGACTTTTTTGATTAGGATTACTTTTTTTATGGCGATTTAAAAACCACCAATAAGACGCGCTCCAATCGTATCTTGCTTTTATTAGCCTCGCGATGATTGATCAACGATGCATCGTTACGTATTATTATATATATATATATATATATATATATATATATATATATTGTTGTTT